ATTAGAAGAATAGTTGAAATTCTGACAAGTTTTTTCAATTGAAATTGTCGGCTGAACTAGCTGACAGCGATAAAAAAAATATAAAAAGTTTACGTACAAAAAAAATCCTATATCTATAGAAATGCTTTGAGTTTGAAATTTGTGCTATATTTAGCCTGTGCAAACTTGTAGCATGCGGGCTTTAGAAAGTCTATTGTCCTCGCGCAGTTTTATATTTGTAGTTCGTTATTGATTATTGTTACAAATAGGTAATTTATGATGTTTTAGGAGCGATATTATTATCTCTTCATAATAGATTTTTTACAGAGATAGAACTTATATATACATACACATATATCTTTCAACTATAAAGCTTTAGTACAGTCGGAGGTATGGCTTAGTTTGGACATTGTTGTAAATGAAACACTTGACATTCTTGAAAAATATGTTATAGAATATTTCAATTATACAAATATTATTTTCTTAGTACTTTAATATTATTATGGAATACTCTTTTCTTTTGACTTATTAGTTAATCTTAATATTTTTTTGAGTTATTGCTTTGCACTTAAGTATACTGACAATTGACAGTGGGAAGTTACCGTCGGGTGTTTGTATCACCGCAGTTAAGATAATATTACATAGTATAACTATGAATATAGTTATAGTTATAATGATACCTAAGTATCTACAGATTGCAGAAATGGTTTGTCAGAAATAGGAATCACGCGATTTTCCTGGAAACTATCGTGATAATTTCGCTACAATAGGCCAATTAACTGTATTCTCAACCCGTCATCATCTTCCATCTTAAGCGCATATATTTAGTTATAGTAGTATAAGTAGTATGTAGTCTCTTTTTAATAGATGATAATGATCTACTGATGATGGTATAATTATCTCATCTCAGCATAAAAAACTATTTAAAGCATCAATATTTTTTATTGTTGATGTTTGTTGTTGAACTATTGATAATTTTTTTTTGTCTTTCCGACAATTGTAATGACTCATCCGGAAGTCTTGTTAATGGTAGATATGGTCCGCGGATATAATTTTTTTATGTAGAAACTAACACGAGTTTTAAAATAATGTTTCAATGGTTTGTAATGTAAGGTACCTGTAAATAAATATGTATTCGGTGACGTCTATAATTTGAATGGCGGCCGTCAGAGACTCAGTGGAAATCGTTCGCGAAATTCGAATTGTTCGTTTCTGAATACGGAGTAAGGCGAGGTGGTGACAAATGGTGCGATTAACAATCCGAATCTCCGTTCAAGGAGATGGTTCGCTTAATGGTCCAATACATCAAAGGATTTTCCGCGCCCTGACGCTTATTTGAAGTCATTTGCTTATTATCTGCAAGGTTATATATTTTTAAAATTATTTTTCTGTGATTGATACAGATATTCTAAAAGGATCTTGATAGATCTTTTCATATCTGAAAACAAAAATTCAATTATAACGTTATGTCATTCTGATTTCAAAACTAGTATTGTAAAGTAACTAAAAAGATCCCTAATACGTATATAATTGAGAATAAAATGCAAAATGTAGAAGCACAATTGAACATGTAGGCATTTTAAGAAAATTAGAAATAATAAAAAGAAAAAAGAAGAGGAAAGAGAAGATTCATAAATAATAACATGAGACACGGTGATAAATTGTATAGAGACGTAAATGGTATGGATATGGTCTGGATGAGATACAAATGGAGAACGGTAAATAAATCAGTTATCTGACTCGTTGGAAAGAAGAAAATTAGGAATGACCATATTCCTTATATTTTTTGAGATTCATTATAATTAACGATGAAAGATTTAACATTTAATATCTGATAAGTTTTAAATTTTCGTTATTATTGCACTTTATTTATATAATTTTGACATATTTTATATGTGTTGACTAGATTGCACTAGCTGTGTAGTATAGCGGTACTCAAAGTAACCGTACACTAATTGACTGATACTACCAAACTTTTTTTGAACTTATTTGCCCTCAGATTCCACGTGTACCTTTATTTCATCATCATCATCAGCCCACTCATCATCAGTACCTTTACTTACCAAAATTATTCATGTTAAGACCCGATTAACTATATTATTAACCTGATATGCGGTTGAAACGTATCTAATGAAAACAGGACAATGAGGGGTTTTCAACGAACTCAAACGATATTATAACTCGACGACATACCGACTCCTATATATTTTTGTATCTATTAATAAATTAATTTTAGAAAACCACATTTTCAATTCACTATTTCAATTTCACATATTGTGCCATATATAAATATATGTGATTTATTTTAAGACAGAGATATTTTAAATTAGTTAGTTAGTGAGTCGATAGGTGAATAATTTTTACATAGTATAAAATAAAGTCGCCGCCGCTAATTGCTCGTTTATATCTTTTGAATTACGTAACGGATTTTAATGCAGTTTTCAATAATATGTAGAGTGATTCAAGTGGAAAGTTTATATGTACAATACGTGCCTTTTATAGTATGGTACAAGCCGATACATTCAACAATGGTAACAGTGACCCCACTATTGTAATATAAAGAGTGGTACTTTACTTCCCAGACGTTAGAAGACAAAGTTGATAGCAACACGTAGAATTAGCCATTTGCTTATCATCCAATGTCATATTAATATTGTAAATGTGAAGTTTGTGAGTTAGATTTTGAAAATAATCTCCGGTATTATAGATGCGATTTTGAAAATGTTTATAGTGTTGGATACAACCAACAGGAGTGGTGGTGCAATGAAATATTTTGGAAAAACAGGGGAAAATGTGACATATACGAAGTTAGACGCATCTGCTAGTATTGTACACAATATTAACCTATCCGACACAATGTAATTCTCTAGTTAACATGAATTATACACCAATATCAGTATATCATTTACTGTATCATATACCAATATATTTTAGCTAATTTATGATGTAGTTGTTGTCTATTACTATTTTCTATATGAAATATAATAACCATAAATCTAGTTAATTTAGTTTGAGAACATTCCTTCAGATTCTAGAAATACAATTATTACAATAATTTAGTTATTCGATATAACATGGGCGGTGCCAGACTAGAATCTAACGGTAATTTAGTAAAATACAAACACCCACTTATTATTCACGAGTGGCATTTGGTAAAGACGTGCGTGTCGGACGCCCGTTTGTGTTAAACGTTTGTAATACCTATCAATCGATGGAAGCATGTATTTTTAAGTACATTAAAAAAAGAATTTCAATTCACACTATATTTTTATTTTATATTTACAACAATATGAAACTGTTGTCATTGCAAAATTAAGTTTTAAAACGTGATCAATTTATATTTTAAACAAATTATCTGCGTAACTCAGTCTCACTAATCGCCAAGCATCTTTGCTTATAAGCTTTATTCGTTTGGAGGTTGTGATTGGGCAGGGCGAAATTGTAGGATAAGCATGACATCTTAGTTTTTAAAAATGACGCATAAGTGATATTTCGAGCTTTACATGATAACGTGATGTCCGTAGTGTTGTTCATGTATATAGTAGTGAGTTTCTACTTATTATGAGGTAAGCCGTTAGCTTTTTCGCCAATCCAATTACATAAATAATATTTAAATTATTACTTTTAATTTTAATATAATGTTTGAACCTACAGAAAACTGAGTACAAGAAAATGATCATCTTTGCCTGTCTTTGCTTGTACGCGCTAGTAACTCGGACTTCTTTTCACATTCGTCGGATTATGTCGTTAAATAAATAAATGGAATATGATTCTTCACTATCTATTTAATTTGAACTATTAGTATAAACTAATCTTAGTATTAATGGCACGTTAATTATAATCGACGACCTCGGTGGTCTAGTGGTTTAGCACACCGCTTTACGTCCGATGGTCGCGGGTTCGATTCCTCGCACGGCACAAACATTTGTATTCATGAGTATGATTGTTTGTATCGGTCTGGGTGTTTTCTATGTATAATATGTATGTATTTACGAAAAAAAAATTATATCTATGTATTTGTATCAGTTGTCCCATAACACAAGCTTTAGCTAGCTTAACTTGGGACTAGATGGCGATGTGTGCATTGTCCAAAAAAAAAAAATTCTTAGTTGACTTTTTTCTTCTTATTACAAAATGTACATAAATTATATTATAATTCTTTGCATCGATACTTACTTTGATTTTATCGTGTTAAAATGTAATAAAGGTAGGAAGTAATAGGTAAAAATTCATTCATATAAGTAGGTCACAAATCGAATAACAAGGTTAAAGCTAGGTAATTAAGTCTAATGACCCGCCCTGAATGTCCCTTTCATTTCGCCGCCTATTAACTTCACTTTTCATACACAAAAGAGTTTCAAAGTCGTTTTATGATACGAGATCTTTTTATACAGTTTGATGAAAGACTTTTTGTTCTAATTATGTATAGGTAGGTAAGTCATCTAGAAATATTATAGGGATTTTATTAAGGAAATTGCTTTCATGTTAACTGGGGAAGTGTTGACAAATTAATTGACATAGAGTTAACATGGATGTAAAATATTTCAAACTACCTGACCCGCGCGACTTCGTCTGCATCACACTTAGGTATTATTATATATCGCCCAATTTACATAACATCTTTTTAAATTATAGCCTATGTGTTATGATGTATAAAACTAAGCTATATTACTGTAAAGTTTCATCAAAATCCGTTAAGTAGTTTTTGCGTAACAAACATCCATTTATACTTAGCAAGATAAAACTGATGATTACTATTATAAACAGGTCTGCTTATATTAGTGATCATTTTATTTTGTTTTAAATAAATTTTGTGTACCTATCTACAAGAAGGTTTGTGCCTTTTATACGTTTCTTGCAGCTGTTATTCTACCAAATATTGCAAATAACCATGTACGTAGTTTGATAAGAAATTTATGTAAGAAAATTTCTTACTATTTTATACAGCTGAGAATATATTTTCAACATTTTCAACATTAATAAATGCAGTATGAATATAAAGACAAACTTGTTGTCAACAGGACTCCGGCCGGGCTCGAGTGTCAGGGCAGAATCTCTAGACGCGATAAAAGTGTCGGCGGTGTCTGGCGGCGACGCGGTCCTTCCATGTGACACTCGGTCGCCGCAGCCTCCCGACGCTCTATTATTGGTCGTCTGGTACAAAAATGATGTGCCTATATACAGGTGAGATTTTCTGATAACTTTATTATATACAATCCCATTTTTTCTTTTATAAGATTATACATAAAGTTAAGGTTCACCAAACAAACTGACGAGTAATAAGTTTTTAAGCTGGAAGTAGAATAGATATTTACAAGAGACGAAGAAAATAATTTAATGATCAATATTGCGGATATTTTGCATTCTTTGAACGGTATTTTTGATGTTGTTTTTATCCGATGCTTTGATAATAATAGTAGTATCAGACTCTTCATTGAGTTTTCATTGGCGTAATTTTTTATGATACTTTATGTTAGAAATTAATGAAAATAATATAAGCTGGATAAGTGATTTATATTTTATAATAAAAGTATATAGAATATACTAATAGTAAATATATTAATATACAAATTTAGTTTTTTAAAAAATATCACTGAATTAGGAACGACTATGGAATTTCTTCTTGACACAAAACTGTAGTATCCAAGAAGGATACTAATGTAAATTATTATATAATAATTATTATACTCGTATGTTTTATTTTTATTGTCAATCTATATATTAGATTATTCAAAGGTCCATACCTATCTACATATATGTATATAAAGGTAAAAACTGGTCTTTCGCCATTATACAAATTCACAACAGGATTGCGTGTGTCCCTGCGTGAGTGAATAAAATATGGAAATGTATTGATAAAAATAGTAATATAGCTTTTATTATTATGTAATAGTTTTCAATATGCAATAAATCAGCACATAATACGTTTTCTGTTTACGATGCAGCTGAGGGAAAGGGGCCTGCAGTTTTATAACTTTATCGAAGTTTATGAAGAAATCTCGCCTATTCACGTCTACTGGGAAAACTAATCTCTACGTCTCCTATATTTTTAATGGAGCTTCGAGGACATAAACATTATATAGGACTTCTAGTAATAGTCGTCGACTCGGCGTATAAAATAATCCCAAAGGAGATAATTGAGTCTACAATTCAGTTTATATTACTGTGAATTATGTATGCGACTTCCTTACGTCTTTATGTTTTTATTACAAAAATCGATTCCATTATAAATTAAAATTTGTGTAATACTTGAGTTTTAATAATAATAATCTCGTGACAATTCACACAGCGCCATCTAGTCCCAAGTTAAACTAGCCCCCCAAGTTAACGTGCCCCGCCCCTGCAATGTTGGTACTCAGGGAAATGCATATACTGTGTTCATCATTATATACATTTTCATATCAGTAATATTCCTTGTATGGCATACCATTCTCATTCTTAAAAGCAATTTTAATAAAACCATAATATCTACTATAAAGTAAAATTTTCAGTTACAACATGTTTACAGTTTTATACGGCTTAGAGCATAATCGTCAAAAAATTAGGTATGCCGTAAAATTAATACTCACAATTCCTAACAACCTACCATTATTGTAATTTGATAATCCCACTTCGATCCTAACGGAAAAGTTTTGCAGTCAGTGGACATTTTAAATAAGGGTTTTTACAGATAATGGATCTGAGGACTTTGAAATTCAATAATTTAAAAGCCCCAGGCACTTATTTCAAGTGATCTTGGGATTTCTATTCGATAAGAAAACATCTCTTGTAATAAGTTATGAAGGAATAAAAACTCAATCGCCCACACAAATTTGTAATAGCCAAGACATCCTAGAGACATTCAGAGATAATTGACTTTTGCCTTTAGAACATAAAATGTAATGTTATCTTTTAGGAATATTTATTATACAATCTCTGTGAACCCTTAAAATAATGATATTATTTTTCAGTCGTAGTTCAATAAATAATTGTATAATAACAAGGAACAAAAACCTAGTTATATAGGTATATGCGTAACATAATGTCTTTACAAAATAATATGTCAAAAAAAAATAACAATGAGAGAGCTGATTAATAATAAAACAATGTTTTTTTCTACCTTCCGTTTTGTCATTTATATAAAAATATATAGTTTTGACACTTTCACCATTTTATCTTGCCGTCGCTGGTTCGATTCTTAATAGAAAATCATAGTTATATATTATTTTGGTCTGGGTATTTTACTAACTATATTGTACACATCTTTAAATATTGTGTATGAATTTCAAGACCAGTCTCACTTAGTTCAGAAACTGCACATAACTGGTATTAAATATGTTAGTAGGGGCTCTATTTATAGTCAGATTTGTTGTATAATACAGGTATAATCAATAGTATAAAACAATCAGGAATTAGAAGGACAAGAGAATTTGTGTCTGCTCAAGAAGTCATTTTTGTAGTCTTTTATTATCCCGTGCAATCTTAATGTGCCACAGCTGCATAATAAAAAACAGCGCACAGCCGCAATATGATGTTAATATATGATTAATAACAGCGGGTGAAACAGATACTCAAAAAAGAAACATAATTTAAACTAAACAATTTCATATAAATAAAAAAAAATTAAATACAATATATGTTGAATACGACGAAACTGTCCGTTACCTAATTTATTCTTTTTATACTTGGAATGGTAACAAATTTTGCGATCCAGCCAATAAAAAGTAATGGTATCTATCTTTTAGAATATGACAGTATCACGGATGTCAGAGAATGCATCAGCAGAAACAAAATGAAATCTTTACTCAGCTTATTATGAGAATAACCCAACCTCAACACCCCGCTGTTAAAGTTTCACAAGAAAATGTAAATTGCTTTCTGTATTGGAACACGTCGTAGTATAACGGGACTTTTTTTATTTTTTTTCTGTAATAAGCTACGATCGCGTGCCTCGTACAAGCCCCGCGATTCACTACTATGTGTTCTCTATTCAGAAAAATAATAGAGCAACGAATCGAGGTTCGAGGAAATTAAATTACATTTATGGTTTACTTGTATACTTTTTAACAGACTGTTGAAAAAAGAAATGTTTTGATTAGGTGTACACACGTTCTAATCTTTGCCATTGTATCGAATATATGGATTTTATTTGTAGTTGTTTTAATTTTGTCGTAAAAGTTACAGACTGACAATTATAGTTTATACTATACTAGCTACTCGCCCTGGTTTCGCCCGAGTGTAAATGTATTATAAATATATACCTTCCTATTGAATCACTCTATTTATTAAAGAAAACCGCTTCAAAATTTGTTGCGTAGTTTTAAAGATTTAAGCATACATAGGGACGGACAGGCAACGACAGCGACTTTGTTTTATACTATGTAATGATGGTATATTACACTATATGGCAGTAAAATGAAAGATTTGGTTATTTTTATTATTACAGAACAGGAGTATTTTATAATACTATCAGTATATGTACCTACCACCAGACAGTTCATCTCAGACTCTTTGATATTAGGAATTAAATAAGTTACTCGATTTTGTTAAATCGAATATTTATATGTCAAATAGTTTGATACTAATTATTATACACGATATTCTCCCTAATTAAATTTAAAAATAAAACTGTAATTTTGAAATAATGTGCAAGCTTAGTTGAAAAGACCTGACCTGACCTGAGTTTTATGTCAGTTCTTCTTAGCTCTAAAATACTCCGAATATATAGTAGACTTGATATATCATAAGAGTCTGTAATAGATCTACATGAATAAAGATATTTTAATTTGATTTGATGTCGACGCATCTTTATATATGTCGGTTCGAATGATCAGACATCTAATCGTATCCTAATAAACTTGAGGAAAGTATTATATAAAGGCACCACGCCTTTATATAATACTTTCCTCAAGTTTATTCTAATAATATACAACCCAATTGTGGATGATAATAATGTGTAGCTTTAAGTTTGAGTAGAATCGTTGCAAAAGCAACATTTCTGTGAGAGAAATTGAATATCCCATACGTATTCGTGACTAAAATTCGAAAAAAAACAGACTATTAAACGGCGATTTATTAAACATTTTGACACCGGGCCTTTTTGGACTAATTGGACTCGACTGAACTCGATTCAGTCCGGTGCCGGATTAGTTTGGTCCACAAAGATCCGACGACAAAAAGTCTGACAAAAATCCGTTAAACGATAAAAGCAGTAGCTTTTTGAGATTTTTCTGTCGTTTTAATGGCAAATACAGTTTAGGTCATATCGTTAGAATAGAATAGGAAGGAAAATACTTTATTCAAATAAACTTAAATTTATGTATTTTTGTATAGTCATATAGTCTTGTTTTTTTAAATATATCATTCTTTGAAAAGTTGTCTCATCACAAGAAGAACGATCAATAAACGGGCATGTGCGTTTGATATAACTGTTATAACATAGATTTTGAAATTATTGGTACCTATTGCAGCCAAAAAAAATAATGCAAATCTAATTACTATAGGACATACATATAGATGTTATTACCGGTACCACACAAAGCGATTAGACATGTAGTATAAATTTTGAACTAATTAAGGTATAAGTTTAATTAGTTCCTAAATTATATGATTTTGTGTATTAGTAATTAATAATGTTAATGAAATGTAATGTTTACCGTCAGTAATTGAAGAGTACTAACATCTAATAAGCTTGTACTTCAGACCATGTATGTATTTAATTTAATGAATATAGTATTAATTTTCTGTTAATATGTCCAGTATCTTACTTCGAAAAATTAAAGTGAATTGATTTGATTGTTATCTCTTGATATGTTAAGTGGTAAGTCGATTATATTAATTAATACGTTGCAGTAAAAAAAAAGATATGTTTTTATGTCAATCAAATGACGGCTAAACTTATATGAAATGGTAAACTATCTGTCTCTCATTATTGTATGATATCTTTATATGTATGTATCATGAAATACATTGTGGTACATGGACTATTTTCCATGCGTTACTATTCCTGATGACTTATATGTGTGTAGTATTATACTGCATGTAGTTTTACCACCCTACTAATATCTAACCTCTGAAACTGCAACTTGCAAAACAAACTGCAAGTATAAATATCATTACAAATATTATTATAATTATCATAATCTTTATAATATCTAATAATTACAATAGTAATAGTAATAATTTAAGATTTAACTAATAAAAAA